GATTCTGTCAGTTCTTGGACGTAATTTTGCAGCATGGAGCCTTGAGGCTAGTGACTATCTTCTTTCACAGCAGGAGTTTTAACTTTGAAGTCGTTCAAACTACAATAGTCTTCTCTGAGCAGTCTGTCCAGTTCTGGGTGTTTCTTCAATGGTTCTTTATGGTCACGTGCCTCCCGGTAATGGTGAAATGCCCTGCCAAGTAAGAATTAGTCCAAAATAATAGGGAAAATTAGGAGAATGAATATATGAGAAAAAGAACGACAATAGGAAAACACCCTCAGATAACGAGGACAATATTCCAAATTGAAAAAAAAATGTCGCATTCACACGGAATTTGCATCTAACAACAAATTGACAAAGATTAGGTTTAAGAGATTCATGCATCTGGTCTTGAACAAGCTATATTACTTGTTGAGTCATTTATTAAGATTCAGTCTATAAGCTTTCAATTTACCGCAAAACAATAATGGATTTTACATATGATGATGCAGTATTTGCTGAATTTCCACTAAAGCGGGTAATGATGAATATGTTCACAAGAAATCAAATCTGATACTGTTACAACTAATATCCAGGTTATGAAAACCAGGTCTGGGTTTAGGAATGAAGAACAGTCATAACTTTTGTTGTGACAAGAGGATAAGAATCGTGACATTAAGGTACATTCACCAAGAGGACAAGAAGTCATCCTAAACATAAATAAATAAATAAATAAAAGCAAGTTTCATAATAAATCCAAGAATGCATCACGTAGATCATAAAAGAAAACCCTAAAACTCCTTTAGATAGATGTTGAAGCCACTAAAGATGCGAACAAAAAGCTCTCCCCCTTAAATCTATCACAAAATGAGGCTTTAGAGAAATAATCTCAAGGATGGATAACAAAAAGATAAATCAAATATCCAACTATCCCTGAAATCCTAAACATCGTGAAAATGCAGAGCAATGGCATTAGTTTTAGAAATCAAACAACAGAGTTAGCAAGGCATATCCATAATCATATTGGACCCATATTTTCAGTTTGTGTGCTTAAATTACAGCCTGAATGTGTAGCTTCTTGACAGCTTAACCTACGTGGAAACTCAGTGATTTGATTGTTGTTAAGCTGTAGTAGTTTTGCCTTCAGCAACACAGCTCATTGCAACAGATTTTAGGCATGGTTTGAAATTTGTAATTTCTAGGAAGATAACTAAAAGCTAATTATTAGTCTAAAAGGAGCTCTAGATGACTAGATGGTAGGAAAATATAAAAACTGAAATCAACAAAATAGGCAAAATGATTTGAACAGTGGCTAGTTAATAAAATATTACACTACTACACATCTCGTAGAAGTTTTAGTAAAGATAGACGGAAATGCAGTTGACCCTTATGCCTAAGTACACTATGAGAACTGAGAGGAATGTGACGATTGGTTGATTGCTTATTATCACATGCATGCATAGTAATGTGCGTCTCATGGCAAATATTTGCAGTACTTCCAAGCCCTCAATGAGATACACAGCTTTTCCTTTGGTTAATAGATTTTTATATCAACATGTCAGTGCTAGAATTTTCATTCCACAATCTACCAAGAAATAGCATTACCACCTGACAATGTTTTCATCTCTCGTCAAAACTCTTGCATCCTTACTCTTATATCTTAATGCACCGACACTGGTAAGTTTTCTAGTTTTCAATTGCCCACCTTTGGCTAAACTATAAACCCATCTCCCTTCTCTCCTCTGTGCCTACAAAACTCACCATATTCTTTCAACACATTTTTAACAGCTATCATGGCTTCCTTTCTTGCCTACCTACATTATTCAAGATCATCACTCACTCAGTCATTTGCAACCTCATGCAGCATGCTTTCTTTTTCTCTTAATCGCATCTTGATCACTATTCAACCACCACAGCTCCCTACAGTATGCTTCCTTCCTTTATTATCTCCCAAAACCATCTTCGATGTCTTCATTGTACAATCAGTCATTTTAATCCACATAAAATTTAGAGTATCATCCAAAATCCCAAGTAGAGTCCCCAGACACCTTTATGGTTCATTTATCATCCTTCAGTTCCACCATTTCACCTTAAGATCCTTCATATTCCTTTTCATACTCGATTGTTGCCTAAAGCAAATATGTAAAACCAAAACTTTTCAGTGAGATTAGAGGGATTCATGAATACTCGTACCAAAGAAAAATATATCTAAGTCCTACCAGCTCAGCCTTCATGGTAGAAGTGCTCTTCCTCCTATCGGGAAAAAAAGGTGCTTGTTAAATTAGATCATAAGCCTAAATGTAATATTAGAAAGACACTTCAGCATCATTTTTATTTAAAAAATCAAATCCTTACGTATCATATCAAAAGCTCCATAGTCCTTTCCTACGTGTCCATCCTTCCGGTACTCACTAACACCTCCATATCCTCCAAAAATTTCGATTTAACCCAATTTCCTAATCCCATTTGTCCCACCAAGCACTCGCAATACGAACTATGTTCCTATATAACAGTAATTAACATAATCTTATCCCCTTCCCAGAAGCGGAAACTGTACATTCATAAATTATGTTCTAAGTTTTATCTAAATCTGTTGTAATTTATAGTCATTCTGATCAATTTAGTTCTCTCCCACACTATTTTTTTTTTATTTTTTTTTTAGGGGCAAATCATCATTTCATCCTTATGTGTTTTTAGACTCCACCAGAGAGGATGATGGGCATTAGGATTCCCCAACCATAATATCTATAGAACTCGCTTGAATACATGGGAGGGAGCAGAAGCCTGACCTCCAACAAAGTAGCAAAATACAGAAGACAGTAAATGCGGAGGTACTACCTCCCTTACAAGAGTAAGGAAGCAAAAGTAAATGAGGAGGTACTACCTCCCACACATTTATTTAATCATACAGAGAAACAATCACTAAAATCCGTTCACTGAAAAAAGTAGTTCAGCAACAATAATGTACTTACCAGTACTTTTCGAGGCCATAAATGCTTCCTTTATTGTAGAAGTCAAGTGTCAGCTGTTCAAAGTCCTCATACAGATCCTCTTTGTGTACCTTCTCCAAACCATAACTAAGAAAAGAAAACGAGTAACAAAACAATCTAAAACAGAGAACATTTGTGAAAGGAGTAGTTAATAGAAAGAAAATTCTTAATAAAGAAGGACGGACAAGCAAGCAATGCATGAAGCTTACCTATAAAACCTGAATAGACACTCTATCCCATAATTATAATTAGCAGCAGCATCTTCTAGAGCCAGAGTCCGAAACTCATTATACATGGAAGGAATAAACATGTTTCTTAAGAAATACGACCAAAATCGGTAGAGTGTATTCATCTCCTGCAAGAATTGCACGTGGCATTTATATATCAAAAGCATGCACACCACACCATAAGAGATGCAATGCCATGTCAGCAACAGAAATAATCCAATCTGGCCAGATTCCAAATAAGCATATGGATGGATAAATCAAGAAAAAAAACAGTAGAATTTCTGGAAAGAAGAAATCGAGAGAAATTGTATACAGTGCATCCACCAATAAATTCATGTACGAAAAAAAAAAGTTCATGTATTGCATAATATAAATCCTTTTAAACCAGAGAAATTTGGTAGATTGTCCACTTATAGAAAAGAATTGGTAGGTTCAGCATAATTAACCATGGTGCACATTTCCTGGCCGCTAACAGGGAAGATACACCCCATTTACTTATCTTCAGAGGCAATGACATGTCCCATAACACTAATAAGATACATTAAACATATCTTGAAGTACGCTAAATAAAGGGGAAGTCAGCAGCATTGCCTATCTAAAAATAATGTTAGATCTCTGATGCACGACAGTTATAGAAACTCTTTCATAGAGACTCCTACGACAGATTGCATCGTGGGATTTGATGTAAATTACGTGATAACTGGTGGTGAATTAGGAATATTTTCCGAAGAAATAAAGAGGTCTTAAAAAATGTTTTCTGTAGGATCACAAATGCTTTAAAATATAGAACTTCCATTGTCTTCCTGTTAGGATTTTTAGGCTCTACTGGTGAAGGACAGATTTAGAAAAATTCTTGTAAAGACTCCCGTGATAAATTTAGCAGAGTTTGAAATAAATTTCCATGGGCAATGGCTTTAGGATCATCTCCCCAAAAAAAAGAGGGGGGGGGGGAGGAGGAATTTTATAAAAGTTTTTGGGCTGTTTCCAGAGTAAGTGGAAATCAACAAGAACAGTGCTTTACAGTAAGGTGAATAAAAAGAAGAAAGTTGAAGGAAAATAACAGAAAAATAAAAAACCTAATAAGGGGAAACAGACAACAGAATATCAGTTTGTCATAATGATTAACTCCATGAGAACATAGAGATAGTACAAACTAAGAAAGTTAAAAGATTATTCTGAGACCAATTAGAATTCTTCAGAAGCACCAAATAACACAACAAGAATTAAGAAAAAGCCTAATGGGCAATACCCATATCTAGCAATTAGTGGAAAAAACAAACAAACAAACAAAAAATCACTCCTAATATATGATGTAATAATATCTCAGCAGTTTCCTAAAATAAAATAAAAAAAGAAAATAAAAGGATAAACTCATGCAGTTTTTTCAAATCTGCTTTATATGAAAAACCAAATTTGCCTTCTTTCTAATCACATCTTCTGCATCAATTTCTTCCTAAAACTAGTAAATCAGGCTAGAACTCTACCAAACAATTGAAGACATTATGCAAATATTTAGAAGAATACCTCACTACAACCAACACCCAATTTTTTTCGTTCACTAAGGCACCGCTTGTGATACTTCTTATACCTGAAAAGAAGAATACATAGCCCCGTTGAAAAATCAATGAGCAGCAAAAGATGTTGGAATCTCAAAGCAAAAGGCGATCACACACATATGAAAGGCTAAATATATGCTCCAATATAACCAAACTTACAGACTTGCTTTTGTATCCTAACAGTGTCTTTAAAGTATATTGATGTAGGACAATCCTATTGTAAATAAGATTTTTTTTTTTTTTTTTTTTTTTTTCAAGTAAAGAAACTTTCATTGAAAAGGTCCCAATATACTAGAAGTATACAAAATGACAAAGGAATCAAAGAGTACAATGATCCAACAAGTCTCTAAGAGAGCTAATGGAGAGAAAACCCAAGCCCTTAACCCACTCGAACAATACATAAAAGAAACTACTCTTCAACTCCGGAATGAAGGTCTCAGTATCCTCAAAAATGCGAGCATTTCGTTCCCTCCAAACACACCAAAAAACACAGTGTGGAATAACCCTCCACACCAAGGAAGTCCTACTACTACTACTACCGCTAGGCCCCTGCCAACATGAAAGAAGATCGAAAACTGTTCTCCCCAAACAAAGCAAACACCATATCCCACAATTCCCGAGCTAGCTTGCAGTGCAGAAGAACATGATCAGGACTCTCTCCACTCTCCCTACATAAACAACACCAATCAACCAAGATAAGGCCACGCTTACAAAGGTTATCAATAGTCAAGATCTTCCCCAGTG